TAGAAATAGCTTGGTAGCGATCACCTCATTTCCAGGGGTTAATATCATCCATAAATTCTTTAATATTATAATAACCTTTTTTATACAAACTTAGTTTAATAAAGTTTTTGAAGTAGCCGAAACACTCGGCCTTACCGAGTCGCTGCTCCCAAGCTACTCTCGTCACCTACTGTCTCGCCCGACTGCCAAGACGCTGGGAAGCTCCCTTCCGCTGCCCCCTCTCCGACACACGCGTGACACCTGGTACGATCGGGCGATTGGCAAAGTGGAACGTGATTGGGTAACGTCCTAACATAACCAAATTTGGGCATAAACAAACTCCCGTCCCGGACATAAGGACTTAGGTCCGCGAGCAAACTGACAAGCGGGACAGGGTCGCGACGGCACGTTGCAAGACCGAATCTACACCAAAACTAGGCCACCTTAGGCACCCCATCAGATCTTGCAACCCTAGCCACCGCCTCAAAAGATAGCCCCAATGTGGCAAGCCGGAGGGTCAGCCTCCACTGGATGCCCCTCCTGGGCATCGCAGCACTTCAACAAGTCCTGTACTGGACAGAAGTCCGACGACCTCTTCAAACACCTATCTGTGCCCCTATGATTAGTTTCGCAATCCAACCGGATCAGGTCTGCAAACAGCGACGCTACACGAAACTGCCCAGAGTGGAGCTTCAGTGCAGAGCGCACCCACAAATTCCACATGAATGTCGTCTGTGGAGAGCCGAACGAAACGCACAGATAGTCCCTAGTATGAATTTTCAACAAGTAGGCCTAACCAAGCCACCCACCATATTATCATTTACTAAAATAGCGCGGCAGCTGATTTCAATCTGATAATCTCCAAAACTAGCTAGCCTGTTAGACAAGCAGTCCTATACTCATATTTCAACTAATTTTTCAAATGCATCAATGTTCAACTACAGAATTAATTCAAACAAATTAATCACTGACCGACAAATTAAACAAAACGATAAACGTAAGAGACAGCCCTATTTCTCATTTCAAATAAATATCTTAGACAGTGCCAACAAAATGCGAAACCAAAAGGAGGGATGACTCGTTATTCCGTTCGGCACAAATAGGGTTATCCAATCTCAGCTTTCTCTTCAACAAAACACCATGACAAAACACATCCACAAAACATATATACAAATATCCAAATAACGCGTCATTCAATTTCAAATGAATTCAAATTTTCCTTTCAGCAAAACAGACGCGATGATCAAATACATTACAAAACATATGCACAAGCATTCAAAAAGGCACATAATTCAATTTCAATTTTCCGCGCTAAAACAAACACATTAATCAACTACAGTTACAAACCTATGCACAAGCATTTAAAGGTCACACAGTTCAATTTTTATATTTTCTGTGCAACAAAACAAACACAGTGATTAAACACATTTACAGAACATATGCACAAGCATTCAAAGGGCATACAATTCAATTTTAATCCTCCGTGCAACAAACAAACACAGTGATCAAATACATTTACAAAAACATACGCACAAGCATTCAAGGAGTATATTAAATTCAACCCTTTTAATAACAACCGCCATAAATATGAACATTTCGCGGAAGGCACAAAAGCAGTTTTAATTTTAATTCAAAGCATCGTTAATTAAGTGCTCGACCAAAACCAAATCTAACAATCCCTAATAGCGCAATTCAACGCTCCCATGAAGCCCTAGTCTTTCCAACAACTAAGCCGAGGCTAACCCGGGTGTGAACCCGGAACAATAAAGCGCGTACCGTCAAACACTCGACGCTCGGGCGGTACGCCCTCACTAAGGCCGTCGCCAAGAGAACAGATTGACATGTGAGCTGTTGACGGCTCACAGAATTAGTGGAGATGGCCGTGGTGGGAGCTAGGGCGGCAGCTACCTAGCTGGGCTGCCTACATCAAAGGGGGAACGGTAGTACCCCGAGCCGCGGCCACTCAGCTGACGAGGATGAGAAGTGTCTAGCTGACCGCTGAGTGTCAGTGAAGTCCCTCTCAACATACTGAGGGCGGGGGTGACGACCCCCCGCCCCTGGGGGAACAACCCCCCGACAGGTGGCGCGGCCGAGCGCCCCCGCCCGTGGGAGTCGAGGGCCCGGAGAGCCCTGAGAGGAAACGCCGTTCGCACCCAGACAAAAAACGGCATGGCGATAGCCCAAGCCGCGCGATGGCATTACTTCTAAATACAAATTACTACGCGGCTCAAATTCAAATTACAAATTAACAAATACAAAAAGAATTAACGAGTAACAAAATACCGTTCCTATCATATCAAGTTAAATAAAATTACACAAATACAAATTACCACTTATTAGATTTATATTATTACCATTTATTAGATTAAATACGAACAACAATACAATAAAGATACACATCCCATTCGATCTACAAAAAATGCCTCGTTCAGACAACCGACCCTTTGATAAGTAATCAACCATAATTATACGACAACGATAATTATCCGATTACGTGATAATATCCATCTACCTACCCAACGCATCTCTCTAGCAAACTCCCGCTTACGCAACCTAAGGCGTGGCAATCGCAACTACCCACTAACAACAAAAAAAGGCAAGCAACAAAGCAACAAAAGAAAAGAATTTTAATTTTAAGTATTACGGCCGGGCGTGATTGTAGACACAAATTAAACCAATCAAACAAACGCTCCCTGCCACCAAAATTGTTTAATTTTTATCAAACACTATCCCGGTCGGGATCGACCGGGGAATCGAACCCGGAACCACGCTCTGCTACCATTATGTTACGGCCTACGGCTGCTCCAGCAAGGGTCAAATCCTCTGGGACCCATTCAGCAGAAGACTTCACGAGCAGACGTAGGTCGGGCCTCAATATGGCCGCGTGGAATATGTTCTCACAATAAACTATATGGGAAAAAGCTAGAAACACATAGTACTTACCATTATCCGAAGCTAACTTCGCACCAAGGCTTGGGCAGGCCGTGAGTGTGTGTAATAGTGGATGGCGAGTGGTGTACAGTGAGGTGTGAATGTGTGGGGCCTTGGCAAGCATAGGCGACCAGCAGCGGCCGAGTTCCAGGCTGCTCCAAAATGCTGCATCGCTTCAGACTGCTTCGGTGCCGGACCACTTCTTTCTTCACTGTCACTGATTCAGTCTCTTAGCTTCATTGTACATTTAACTAACTTCAATTCGCCTAATTCCACACTCATCGCAGAATCGAACACGTGATATCCGACACGGCAAGGACAGTAGAACAAAATTCGACTTTGAATGTCCCGGATTCACTTATCACAAATTATAAATTCGGCACCAGAATAACACGTCGCGCCAGAGTCAAAATACGCCTCGTTGACACGCAAATTAATCTAACTAAGATGTACAATTACTTTCAAAGAATTTACTTAAACCGTAAAACCCCATAAAGGCCTCTGGTACGGGAACCTAAATCCTAGACCACCAAATCTGAGGCGGATTTCCCGAAACACAATTATGTAGCGAAGCCGCGCCCAAACCCAAATTCTAGACCCTAATCACTCGAAACCGGTCTCGCGCAACTTCCGCAGCGGTAGCCGAAACACTCGGCCTTACCGGGTCGCTGCTCCCAAGCTACTCTCGTCACCTACTGTCTCGCCCGACCGCCAAGACGCTGGGAAGCTCCCTTCCGCTGCCCCCTCTCCGATACACGCGTGATACCTGGTACGATTGGGCGATTGGCAAAGTGGAACGTGATTGGGTAACGTCCTAACATAACCAAATTTGGGCACAAACACCTATACAATAACTATACACTGATTTACACTACAGATTTATTAAATACACCGTTATAAGTGAGTGACAAATTATTTTATTAGTCACAAAATTATTACAAATGAGAATTTTTAAGTTTAAAATGTACTTTCTGCACCATAATACAAAATAGGTACTTATACACAAATAATTATTTTCACTATTATAATGTTAGTCACAAAATTAAATTGTTTTATAACAAAATAACACAAATAAACTCTAAAACAAAATCAAATTATTAATTTTAAAACTTAGAAAACTAAGGAACAACAAATAAATGCGCTCACTCGATTGTTTTACCTACGTGAACCTAAAAATGGAATACTTCAAAAATACTTAAATTTTCGCTCCTGATTTGTTTGCTCTCTAGTTCAAGGCCAAATGTTAACAAGTGCTACAACATAAAAGTGCATTGGATATATTGTTTTTGGTCAGGCCGATATCGGATATGCGATATTGAAGTAATATATAGATTCAATAACTAAAACTCTATACGTTTTGTATCGACGACTCCTAGTTTTGGCGGAAACTTGACCGGAGACGGATTGCTGCTCCTGGCCTCATGTATTTTTTTTTCTTTTTTTTTAAATACTAGTAATGCTATTAAACATTACTAATATTACCTTTAACCACTTCTGGTAAGCTTAAAATGCTTGTGTTAGAAGTGGTTCACGACAGTAGTCGAATGGCGGATTCGAACCCACGACCTTTCGAGTTCGCGATCCACGCCCTGCCATTAGGCTACTGACGCTTCATATTAAATTATTGTTTAAATAATGGTTTGAAGTGGATTTTGATATGTAAAAGTGGTGCGATTTGTGTCTTAAATGTCTGCGCATGTGAACTAGTAGTGCAAACGGTGAAACAAGTGCTCTAATTGTGATGTGATTCTCAAGATAAGGTGTCTGTCTGCTTAGGCGCCTTGAGATACCATAGCCAACTCTCAGCTGTCTACTGGCTCAAGTTACCGTCAAAATCTCCCAAGGGCTGCACAATGTGACGCATCAACATATTGTGAAGCAGTGTACTATGAAGGATAATTATACATTGAAACTTCAGGCTCAGAAGGGCTAGAACCCAGAGCCAAATAGACAATTATTAAAAAATGACAATTGACATTGACAGTTTGTTTATAAACTTTATAAGCAGTCTTAGGTTTCTATAAATATATAATATTGTAAACAATTAAATTGAGTAAAATTTGAAACTACATTTATAAATAATATTTAACATGTTATTTCGAAGGCGAAGGTATATCCTGTTACTTCTTACAGTCAGTCATTAATTTTAATTAAAATACATATAACGCAATTTGTTTTTATTTCAGCTTGGCTGTGAAATATTTCATAGCAGTCTTTTTCGGTGCTGTTGTCTATAATGAATGGTTTGTTTATATTGCCCAGTCCATATATTGGCAAAATATGAAATGTCCATACGATGATAAATATTGCACCAAGCTAATGTTTATAGCTGATCCACAAATACAAGGCGAAATGGCAGTACCACCTCCTTTAAGTTATCTATATAACTGGGACAGTGATAGGTAAGAATTGTGTAAAACAGTAGAAAATTGAGACTACGTACGCTAATATTTATGTGTATGTTATACCACAGTTTAGACCTTACATTTGTGAAAGCCCTTTGATGTCAGGCGATGCCGCCGCGTAGGTATTGACGCGACCTGCGTATAGGTTGTCACGAAAATGGAAATAAAATAACTAGATATTATAATACTCATTATCATTTATTAACATAAATATATACATTCTTATAAGTTAAAAATATTTATTGAACAAGATCATATTTTATTACTACAAGAAAATACACATTTACAAGTGTTGCATTGCCAAATATTTTCGCGACAATTTCTTTTTATAGATGTTTTCATAGTCATGGGCATTTTTGGATTTGAATGTATACTGATATTTATCCAATTTCAGAAACAAATAAACTAAAGTGTGAGATTGATTTAAATGAGGTTACCCATTGTAGATTTATGTGATATATTTTGTCTGCAATATTTACACACTGTAACTTCAAAAGCATTTTAATTTTTGTCAAAATGTGTCCATACCTCAATGAGTTTTTGCGACATTTTGAAAATCAAAACAGTTCCTGTCTAATCAGCTAAAGTCTGAACAAAAAGACTTGATATACAATATCAAAAATATTTAAATGTTATATAAACATACTCACTTATACACTCGCACGCAATTCACTTTAACGTTAACTAATTAATTTTTATTTTCTTAATTCATTAATTTTTATATTTATAACTAATTTTTATTTTCTTTACTCTAAACTCTACTAAACAAATGGACAAGAAACATCGGTAAATATTCTGTAATTCACTGATACTGTAACAGTCGATACTTCACAGCAATTCATTGGTTCATACACACTTAAATTCAATAGTAGTTTTGCTACGTGTCCACTCCACTCCGCCCGCGGTTCTCGTGATACTGATGCCATGGGCTCAAAACTGTACACTTATATTCATGTATTAACAGGCAATATAAATGATACTACCCTTATTCTGATTTACAAACTGTATTTTATTACATACATACTAACATTTTAAAATCACATACGCTACAGATAGGACTGACTGACACATGTGCACTTGTCACCAAGATCAAATTTGCATCTAAAGGAAAACAACATGAAAACAAAAGATTATTTTTAGTAAACAAACAATAAACCAAAAACAAAAATAAATCATCACACAATCCCGCAAATATACAGGGGTATTTTTTAAAGATGATTTGATAAATAATGAGATACCATTATTGCAGCTTTGGATTTGATTTGAAATTATCCCAAATTGAATGTGACTTATGGGCAATAACGTTTTGTATACCGATCGACCCTTACAAATGTATGTGTGCACAGTAAAATCAGTTAAAATAATGCATTACCACACATTTTGAATTTAAAAGATAAAAAGGGACAGAATGTTTGACTTTTTTATAATTAAATTTTCTTCACCATTTGTCTAAGTAATACTCTGAAATTTGTCTGCAAATTTGGCCGGTTCTTGCAAAATAACCCTGTATATTCTTTAACAACTTAATAATGAGAAGGATATTGATTGTATGTTTCAAATATTCTGGTAAGCAAACACCCAAAAAAGGAACGAATCAATCAATCATTAAAAAAAAATCAATGCATAATCTCGCAAAGCAAATATAGACTTTAAGTACTTAGCACTAAGGATAATACTGATTGCAAATTTCAATGTGCAGTTGATTTCCATAGCCGACAAACCGAAATCTGAATTGCAAAATTCACACCATCCTTTTCATTCCGCTATGTCATGTTTGGTTAAAAGGAGAGAAACTGAGAAAGCAGATTTCTACACATCAGTTTGCGTTTGGATTTGGGTATTGTCGATTTGGATTCATTTAGTGATACAAATTGTAAGAGTTTACCTTAATAAGGTCGATCTTTGAAATCAGATTTTCTAGTTGAATTTTTTTTCTAGTTGTACAATTTTTAATTCCTGGAATCGGATTTTAGATTTGTTTTGAGCATAAGCATGGCCGTCATTTGAATTCAATTTTAATGGTGAATCACTGTTATAGTTAAATGAGTCACTACTCATTTAACTGTAACAGTACTTCACCATTATAGATATGTAGATATTATATTTTTCGAAAACTGCACTTAAAATTAGTTAAATTAGAAATGATTACACAAGGGGACTCTAAATTTCTATAAAATTCAATTAATTTCTGTATTAATAATAAAAGTTACAACATGTAATTATGTAATATCAGGACAGGCAAGAGACTGACCTTGTGGCCTATTTCAGTGGTTGAACTAAATCTGATTATCACTATGTGACATTTTGTTGGAATCTGTATGGGCACTGTTGTTGTGTGTTCAATTACTAATTTTTTATGCAAACAATGCTTATATCTGTAGTAAAGCATGATGTAGACAACTTATTTGTAACTAACCCTGTCTATATTTTAGATCATATTGCCAATTTACTAAAAAAATGTTTTCATCTATTTAAGCTGGATTTCAGGTATTTGGATACAACATTCAAAATAGCATTGAAGTATTTCAAGCCTGATGTCTTGGTATATCTTGGTGATCTAATGGATGAAGGATCAATTGCAACAATGACACAATTTCACAGCTATGTGAGACGCTTGTCGAATATATTTGAAGTCCCTTATCCCATTATTGTAAGTATTTTGATTATTTTAAAGACTTCACAATGGTTTTTCAATGATGTTTACTGTCATGATTAAAATGTTTGTGATATTTTTAAAGCATAAAGGTGATAATGAAGCACACACTGATGGTGGTCCTTTGTCACCTATTGGATGCTTCAAGCCTTTTAACTATTTCTCTTAGCTGCCAACCATAGAAATGAATAGGATAACGAATCTAACAAATTTCCCCTGTTAATATTTTCTCTGTGGCATATTTGAGTGGGTTTTCTGTCATCAGATGCTATCCGTCCGTCACATGTGTGTTTCTCTTACTGATGAGGTTGAAATAGATGATATAAACTGGAAACAAGGCTGTTAAATAGTGATTTTACTTGTCTTGACACAAAACTGTTCAAATAAATTTACAGTGAAATAAATATGTCTTTTACTTCAATGACGCTGAAGTAACTCTAATAAATAATTTAATGCTAAGTATATCCAAATGTTATGCTCAATAAAACCGAAAGAATAGTACAGATTTTCTACATATGTACTTATCTTTTTATTACTTTATCTTAATTTTTCAATTAGCTTCTTCGAAGTACAGGTCTTGAAATTATTTTAAAACGATTAAACTACATCTTCCAAAAGCTTTACAAATAATTTACTGTTGTTATTTTTTTGATTTCCCTTTTTTACCGCCAACCGCTTTCTTTTTTTCTTTGATAATGAACACATACTGTTGTACTTTTGCCAGTGTCATGTAATATGAAATTATCCTATAAATTAATTTGTTTAAACACTTGTTTACAGTATATTAAAGTGAAGCATTTTATTGCAGTTTTTGGGAGATTTTAACAACAGCTTCAAATAGCAGACAGTCGGTGACGATAGTATTTTAAGCAGATATTAAATACATAAATTAGCATCACTTTTATGTATCAAAATCCACTTCAAACTATTATTCAATTTAATCGATAATACAGGAGCAAAAATTCACTGGCGCCCTAGTTCCCGCCAAAACCCCGCCAACTGCTTAGACCCAGATTTTTTTACCTTAGGAAAGTCATGCCTGTGTTCTTTTGATCTGTAAAACCACAGTAAACACATTTTTTTTACATGTCCCGTCTATTGAAAGTATCTATAGCTACCGCCAGTACTGCGCAGAACTGCGTGTATTATTACATTAACACTAATGACGAATACCTACATTCCAAATTCAATCATAATTGCATGTAACACTTGAGAAAAGTACCTGTACCTATATAACCTTCATTAAACAAACAAGGGAGGATTGGTAGATGTCGTGCATTTATATATTTACTAGGTGGTAAGACTTCCTCATATGAGTCAGTCTGAATAGGGACTACGCTCTTACCTATTGCACTGCTATTTTGCGTTTCCGGTCTGAAGGATAGTTACAGGCTTGTGAGGCGTTCCTTGTTAGAAGTTGGCTGCAGATGTCTGTTGACTGCAGTAGACTACTTAGTACTTACCATCAGCACTTTAAAAAATTCGGTCTGTAGTATGTACATATTACAGGTGTGTTTTGTTATGTGCTACATTTATAAAATTTAAGTAACTAAACTTGGTGTTTCTTTTAGCAAATATGGCTGCCAGGAGACAATGACATAGGAGGAGAAAATGAACCAATTAGAGAAGATAAACTTGAGGAGTTCAATAAAGTTTTCAATCAACCCTCTGTCATTACATATAGAAACATTTCATTCTACAAAGTAAACGGAATCACACACAGTTTCCCGCACGCGAAAGAAGGAGACGACAAGTACAGAATAGTTGTCTCACATTATCCTTTATTGTGGAAATCCGTTTTTGGTAAACAGGTAACGATAGTTTATTCTAGTGCAAATTAAACAAGTATTCAATTTATATTTATTCATACATATATTAACACACCCATTTTTCATAGACGTAGGCAGATAATGTGCACAGTAGATCATGCCTACTTCTTAATATGTCATATGCTAAACGAGTTGATACACTACTACTACTTGATACACTCCCTTCAAATAATATTTGTTGCTTTCCTTCGTTAAGCAGTTGCGAAGAGTGCAAGGTTGAACGTGCAAGATAGTAGTGCCAGGTAGTGTGATCACCAAACCTGCCAATTGTGGCGATAATGGCAAACGTTCCAAGAACGGGAGGAACCGAAGATGGGGGGATGAACAGTAGACATGTGTCATTAATTAATTTCTAGTGACCCGATCATTCAAGTATTGAGCCGTCTTACGAACCGGGTCATTCTGGTCGATGATTCATATGGATCGTTTCGAGTTTCAGTACTATGTGATCTGTGAGACCCAAGCATACACAGTAAAGTTAACATTTATTCACTTCAGATAGTTACACAAAATAGATAGTTCCACACGACACAATAGAGAAGTTCATACTATAGGAAATTGAAGGAGTAGAATAAAATACAGCAATATCGTTAAGCAAATTACAAATACTTAATATTCGAGAAATACGAACAAACGCTACGGTTGGCCAGGTGACATGGGCTTCGCGTGCGACGTCGGTAAGCAGACTGAAGACACGCGGCGCTTTAGCTTTACTATGTACGCTTGGACTCAATGATTTTTTACCGGACTGTAATGCCGGCATGGGCATGCAACTTAGAACATTATTTTACGAACAAAATGATATGTTTTATGTGCTTCCATCTACATTCCAAAGCCCCTAGGCTAGACTAATTTTAATCTCACTAGAGGGCACTTATATAATATTAAGTCTATGCATACGCAATAATCCACGTGCACTACGCAGTTAGTAGCGGTCACTAGTTACGCTTAAATTGTTATTAATATTCATTGAACATTATTTATTTATTTTATTAGAAAATGCCATTTTATCTGTGTCTTCAGACAATGAAAACTGCTAAAATATTATTAGAATTCTAAGGTAAATTTCGCCACAACCCACAAGGTTATAATTGCTATGGTGAACAAGGTTATAATAGCTCAGGTGAATAATCGGGCGGTCCCGAAATCTAAAGACCCCGGATCGCGTCCAGCAGATGTGTTTATTTTTTCCCTTATTTTCAAGTTCCTTCTTTTGTAAGCGCCGTCTGTTATGCAAAGCACGACACTAAAGAAAATTAAATTTGAGTCGCGCATCTATCTCTAGTATATATACAGTAATCTATGTATGCCGGGTTTCCATGCTTGCCAAGCCTCGGCAAACGTCTTCAAGCCCCAAGCGTCCACAAATCTCGTTTGGCATTTGGAAGTAGTTTTCATGCTTGTGAATGCGTCAGTGTGCTACGTAAACACAAGCATGGCGGACACCGAACTTGTGTCGGCTATTTCGTTTGGTTTAACATACTTTTATTTGAAATACAAACAAAGTAATACAAAAACAAGGAATTTTTGGTTTTTAATTCTTTTAATGGCTTTCCCGTTAACTCGGCAAGACGACTCCAAGCATTTGCTACTTTATTTTTATTTTTATGATTAACGTCTTTGGGGTTCCAGATAGACGATTCGGTCTGGTAATATTCCAGAAACGATAAACTCTCTTCATTCGACCAGTCACTCATTTTAAACAAAGAACTAAACATGCGCTCGTCGTGAAATCACAATTTCTACTAAACGCGCACCAACGTGTGAATGCGTTGCAATCTGTGTCCAAAAACCGACACTAGCCCGGATCGGGGACAAGCGTCCACAAGCTCACGCAAGCCAAGCCAAACGCCCTCTTTACACACTTGTGCTTGTGGATGCTTGCCGAGACTTGCAAGCGTGGAAACCCGGCATAAACTATACACATTCTTTCACCCACACCCTCACGCTATAACTGGTGACCCCGATGTGATTTTAGGCTTCGGTATGATTCCTTTCTTGCACGACGACAGCGCCGCCACAAGTGAAAGAGAACAACATTTTTAATTTTTTTAGTCCTTAAGGGTGACAACGCATCTGCATTTGTTCTTAACCGAGAATAAATGTAGGTGTTTATGGCCCATAGCATCCACTCTAAACTAGGTGGGCTTTGCGCTCGTTTGTAAGAAAAAATGTACTACGTAATGAGAATCGGAAGGGGAATTTAAACTTATTTTCAAACGACTTCAAAAAAGGGGGAGGTTCTCAATTTGTGGGCATCTTTTTTTATGTATGTTCACCGATTACTTGGAGACGGCTGAACCGATTTGTAAAATTATTTTTTGTTTCAATCGGTCGAGCGGTTTTAAAAAAATCAACATTACATTATATTTATATTGAAGTCGTTTAAACAAAATTTTTAATTTTATCACTTGTGTTTGTTTATTATCAGGTGAATGATGCAATCCATCCCAACATATACTTCTGTGCACACGAGCACAAATCGAAATATTTCATCAAAGATAAAAATTTTAGAAATATATTTACACGTAGTATAAGACCTGGAGATGATATTTTAAATATTGATCGTAACGAAGAAAATATTTACGAGATTTATGTGCCAACCTGTTCGTATAGAATGGGGACTGACACTATCGGTTATGGAGCCGCCATGCTGGGTAAGTTTAAAATTGAAATGCATTTTTTACTGAATACTTTTTTTTTAATTTACACTATGTTGGCGTAATGAAGAATAGACCGCAAAGTTACTGGTTTTAGGTCCAGATTGATCTTATCTTACATTGCAGCTAAACCTAGCTACAATGATATAATCCAAGAAATGTTCAAAAGCAGGCCCACATGGAAAGGTGCAGAAACAGATTAGGTACTAAATTTGAAGTAGCCTTGTCTTGGTTTGTTTACGACATTATTCTTTCTTCTTTTGAGTTTCTTCTTCGTTTGAGCACCTCATTGTTATGAGCGTCTACAGACCATGTTCTATATACGATACTTTTGAAAAAATTATGGAGGAAGTTTTTCCTAAGCTTAATAAACATAATAAATCTGTTGTAGTATGTGGAGACTTTAATATCATCTCCTAGAAGCTTCCTCAATCAATATTAAATTTAGATAATTGTTTAAATCATATGGTCCTTTTTATTTATTTTTAGAGCCAACACGTATTGCTCAATCTAGTGCAACATGTATAGATAACATTTTTACAAATGTGAAGCCGTTGCATAAATGTATAATTCAAAAATTAAGTTCTGATCACTGTGGACAAGTAGTTTCGTTACCTTATGTTCACAAAAAGCAAGTAGATAAGAAAGTTGTGTTCGTTCCAGTAAATCCACGTCGCTTGGAGAAATTTAGAAGTAACATAGTGAAAAAACTTCCATCACTTTCATACCAAAATGATCCAAATTTTTTGTATGGAACATTATTTAAGCTTATTTGCAATGAATTTAATAATACTTTTACTTCTAAAACATTCTCCTTGAACAGTCGGAAGTCATTTAATGAATGGGCGACAATAGGAGTCCATAAGAGCAAACATAGGTTATATGATCTTTACCATGAAAGGTCATATAACCATAGCGTCGAATTTAGGGAATATGTAAAAAAATATTCAAAAATATTTAAAAGAGTGTGCTCCATAGCCAAATCTTTGCATTTGAGCAACAAAATTAAGACGGCTTCTAATAAAATTAAAATGACATGGAGTATAATTAATAGCGAAACTGGTAAGATCAACTCTCACAATTCAAACTACCCGTTAAGTGTTAATAACAAATTAACCGAATCAGATCAGGACGTTGAAATGGTTTTTGAGAAATATTTTACTGATATTCCGATATTAACCACTAAGTCACTGAATTCTTCTGCTGCCGTCGCCGAATCATTACTTAAACAAAATGTAAATGCGTGTACAAAGAATTTTACATTTCATAAAGTATCATCAAAAGATATTGTAAAACATTTCAAAACTATTGATGTTAAGAAAACTGCGGATCTGTGAAGGATTTCCGTTAAACTTATTGCGTCTATAATAGATACAATCGCGCCTCATTTAGCTATTATTTTTAATACTTGTATCGAATCTGGTGTGTTTCTTGATTTAATGAAGTATAGTAAAGTAATACCTTTATTTAAATCTGGTAGTACATTAGACCCCGCCAATTTTAGACCTATTTCTGTACTACCAACACTTAGTAAGATTTTTGAATAAATTATTCTTGATCAAAGGTTAAATTTCTTTAATATAAATAATTTACTTCATAAAAATCAATTTGGTTTCACAAGGGGATGCCCGACAACTGATGCCGGTGTTGAGCTGATTAAATATATATTTAATGCATGGGAGAATTCACAGGATGCTTTGGTTATATTTTGAGACCTATCCAAAGCCTTCGATTGTGTTCACCATGAAACATTAATCAGGAAACTTCAACACTACGGCGTAAGAAGTGATGCTCTTAAATTAATTATTTCATATTTAAGTAAGAGAATGCAAAAAGTTGTCATTAACAGTATGAGTTCTTCCGGGTCGATGGTACAAATGGGCGTGCCTCAAGGCTCAATTCTCGGCCCCATTTCTGTTTCTTGTATACATTAATGACTTACCTTACATAGTAGGAGATAACCATGATATAGTATTATTTGCAGATGACACTTCTTTAATTTTCAAATTAAGTCGACAATTGCTAAAATATGACGAAGTAAATAATGCGATATCTAAATTAGTAAATTGGTTCAATGTTAATAATTTGCATTTAAATGGCACTAAAACGAAATATATGAAATTCATGACTCCAAATGTCAAACAATTAAATACTAATGTAATTTTAAATGGGGAGAAACTGAGTCTTGTAGATACCACCATTTTTCTTGGAATCACACTAGACGCGAAGCTTCAATGGAGCTCCCATATATCAAAACTAGCAAGCAGAGTTGGTTCTGAAGCATATGCCGTAAAAAAGATTATAATTCTAACTAGTGTTGAAACAGCTAGACTAGTTTACTTTAGCTATTTCCATAGCATAATGTCGTATGGTATTTTGCTATGGGGACACGCAGCTGACACTGAAATTATATTTGTTTTGCAGAAGAGGGCCATAAGAGTAATTTATGATTTAAAGCCTAAAGAGTCGCTGCGACAAAAATTTAAGGAAATTAATATATTAACTTTGGCCTCTCAATACATTTATGAAAATGTAATGTACATACACAAAAATCAAAGTAGTTTTACAAAAATAAGTGATATTCTTTCTGTAAATACTAGGAACAGACACAAGCTAGTAGTACCAGTTACTCGACTCCACCGAGTCAGTAATTCATTCATGGGGCGATGTATACGCTTTTACAACAAAATTCCAGAAAATATACAAAATTTGACCTGCCCAAAGTTCTGAAACTTTATTAAACTATGTTTGTATAAAAAGGGTTATTATAATATTAAAGAATTTATAGATGATAATAACCCCTGGAAATGAGGTGATCGTTACCAAGCTATTTCTAATTTGTTGTGTTGTTAATTTGTGTAACATACATGATTGTAAGCTGTTATTTTAAAAAAAGTCCCGCTGGGTTTCTTGCTGGTTCTTCCCAGAACAGACGTTTTTTTTTCGAACCAGTGGTAATTATACAAAAGAGTGACTTTCAATAAGTATTATTTATAATCTATATTGAATAAAAACGGTTCTGTTTCTGTTTCTTTCTTTTAGAAACCCCACCTTAGGATTTTTTCCAGTATGGTGAAGGCATTTTACAAACATAAATTTCACAAGGACAAACATCCAGACCCGGAACTTTGTAGATCATACAAATACTTGTTCCGTGTGGGATTCGAACCTGCGACCCTCAGCGCTGCAACTTATTGCTAAGCCACTGCGCCTTCACATTATTACAGGTGATGAGTCTTAGATTTATCAATACGATGCAGAAACAAAACGCCATCCGACGATTAGACTGTTTCAAATTGAACCAACGCGTACCAAAGTGAAGTTATTGAGAAGCTTGGGGAAGATTTTGTCCGCTAGTTTTTTCACTTAACGTGGTATCTGGTGTCACTCTCTTTACGATCTAATTAGCAGTAATGCAGAATAATAGGGGGTTTTTCAACAAGAACTTTGTTTTCTAAAACAAAATAAAACAAAGAGTTTAGATGAAGATGATTCAAATTTTTATTGTATTACGAAGAGAAAAGTTTGGCAATTATGAATGAAAAATGATATCTGGCTAATGTCCACCACGACCACGCTGACAGATGTCGATTCTTTAATCAAAGTTTTTATTCACTTTTTGTCAAAATGGCGGGTCTATTTCGTTAATCACGTCACGGATTTTGAGTTTTAAGGCCGCGATCGATTCGATTGGCTCCGTATAGACTCTGTCCTTAACATAGCCCCACAAAAAATAATCCAGTGGTGTTAAATCACATGATCTGGCTGGCCATTTAACAGCTGAATTTCGTGAAATTATGCGATCGGAAAATTTGGTTTGCAATAAATTGATCGTTTCGTTGGCTGTGTTACATGTGGCACCGTCCTGTTGAAACCACATGTTTGTGATATCGATGTCATCAATAATAGGCCAAAATTGAGAAGTTAACATCTCGCGATAGCGTGATCCATTGACCGTCACCGCATTTCCAGCCTCATCTTCGAAAAAAAACGGTCCAATCACGCCTCCAGACCTGCCACATAACGCACCATACAGTAACACGTTGAGCATGCAAAGACTTCTCAATAATCGCTTTAGGATTTTCAGAAGCCCAAATGCGGCAATTTTGCTTGTTGACGTACCCTGAAAAGTGAAAATGGGCTTCGTCTGAAAAAATTATTTTTTTCAGAAAAACCAGCGGGCTGTTAGTGAATGAATTGAGCTAATCTACGGCGATGTGAATGGTCGGTCAGCTTTAATTCCTGCACCAGTTGAACCTTGTAAGGCTTCAAAGCCAAATCCTTACGCAAAATTGGCCATGTGGTGGTTTTGGATAACCCCAATTGTTGAGAACGTCGAGGAATTGACAAATTTGGATCTTCTTCAACACTGTGGCTCACGGCTGCGATGTTTTCGGTTGAACGACCCGGTCGAACACGCGTTGGTGTTGGCGCATTTTGTACCGAGCCTGTCGATTCAAATTTAGCGACCAAATTCTTAATAGCGGTCTCAGAAGGACGATTATGTTGTCCGAAAATATCACGAATTTTACGAAACGTAACTTTAACAGAACCACCATTTTCATAGTGGATTTTAATTATTTTAATGCGATTTTCGAGCGAAACTGAATTCATTGTAGCAATTGCCAAAGCATCTACTACGAATAGGTCAAAAAACTAAATGTCAAAACTGTCATGTTTTTGGTGTTGCCCCAATTGAAAAACAAAGTTCTTGTTGAAAAACCCGTTATTTTACAAAAGAACACCGAACACGAGCATAAAATAATGACACTATATTTTGAGACACGTGACTTCTCGGACTACTGCTTTACCATGACAAAGCGCCCACCTGTGAAGGGTTTTTTTTTTCTTTTAAAAAACGTTAAAATAGAAGGTTTCTGGGTCAAACTTACAAATAATCTACTACTTCCCTAAAAAAATCAACTGGAAGGGATACAGTTTTCGTCGCTGGTAGATCGGACTAGCAGCGTTCGGTCAGGTCGTAGAAGAGGTCTAAGGCAGGTTTTAAAAAGTTTTTCAAAAATTGGTTCAGACGCATGAAACTTTGTATAAATGCTGATAGAGTTTTTAGAAATTAAAATAATATCTTTTAACACAATTTTTTTTTATTTTCGAAAAATAGCTATCGCCTCATACAGTATGTCAAACTTTGTGTAGAATGAATCATTGCCATCCTCCTGTATGGTCACTTCGGATCCAGTCCAGTAGCTTGAAAACGTCTTCCAATTCAGCGGTGAAGAGTTTCGGGGATATAACGTCACCCTGTCTTACACCTCTCTGCAGTTGGATAGGTTTCGTACTCTGGTTCTGTACTCGGATAGCCATCATAGCCCTACTGTACAAACACTGCAAAACTTCGATATACCGATAGTCAACTTGGTACCGCTGAAGGGACTGCAGCACCGCCCAAATTTCGACGGAATCAAAGGCTTTCTCATAGTCGACATACGCCAGACATAGTGGCAAATTGTACTCCTCGGACTTCTGTACAATTTGCCGAAGGGTATGTATGTGGTTTATGGTGCTAAAGCTTTTTCGTAAACCGGCTTGTTCGGGAGGCTGGAAGTCGTCGAGTCTGCATGCGAGACGATTTGTAATGACTCTCGAAAACAGCCCGTAGACGAAATCGGTCTGTAGTTCTTCAAGAGAGCATTGTCGCCTTTCTTAAAGAACAATACCACAGCATTTCTGCTCCACGCCTCCGGTGTAGTGCCACCATGAAGGACGGAATTAAAGAGCTTCTGAAGGACTACAAGTACCGGTTTTCCACCCGCTTTCAGAAGCTCCGCTGTAATTCCATCCTCGCCTGGGGCCTTGCCGTTTTTAAGGTGCTGGAGAGCCATTCTAATCTCGCTCAGACTGACGTCCGGAATATCATCGAAATAGTGTTGAATAAAACTTGCTCTTGGATTGTTACTCACACTTGCGTGTGGTTCCAACGATGATGTGTACAGCTGCCCATAGAACCTCTCAATCTCACTCAAAATCTCAGGTGTCCCGGAAACGACGCTGCCACACTCGGTCTTCAGCTTCGACAGTTGGCTCTTTCTAGCAAACACTGAAACCCTGGTTCCACTCGATCGCTTCTTCAATAAGAGCAGTATTAAAGTAGCGTAAGTCCCGCCGCATCTGTCTATTCAATTGCCTGTATGCTATCAAATCTACTGAAGTCTGCAGCTTCATTTCCCGTCTAACAACAATGAGATTAAGGGTGTGATCGGAGAGTTTTTGTGTGTTCTTCTGGGGCGGGTCTTGCAAAACTTAGCTCCGACTGCATGAACAGTTTCTACGATCTTGTCATTCATTCATAACTTAGCAGTAAACACTAATTTGATGTAAGTAAATAAATTTTCTTGTTTCAGTTCACAATAATCATCATCTGCACTACACAGTACTTTGGTCGCCCAGAAGATTCCCCTCACTCTTTGCATACGCTGTGTTTTTGGTAATCGCTATATTATATACGTTTGTTTTTTGTCTGTCAAGGATTATACTTAGATGTATGTTGGTTAAAAATAGTGACACCACACAACCTCTTCTACACACCAGTTAGCAGCACCGAAACACAGATTACTATGAATAAAACGAAATTCTATGTTTAAGACTGATGTATGAAGATACCTCGTTCATGTTTACGTATATTTAAAATAAAATTGGTTAGTCCATATTTACACAAATTTCTTACTATATTTATATCCATGGCTTGGTTAAGAGTTTTCATTGAGTATATTGTATAGTTAACCTATTATTGGTACTTATAAATTGTTATTTAACAGAATTCTTTAAACATTCCAAATTACAATATTAAATTTATATCTTATGTCAACTGGAAAAGAACCAGGCTCACATAGGATACCAACGTAAAATAGCAGCACAATGCTGGTGTTGTTCTTGGTGTTTGTTGTTTTTTATAGTCACAGAAGTGACAAAGCATTTGCATTTTGATCCTAGTTGAGGATTGACGCACATTCCTGTCATGGGGTCCATGTTCATCTGTCACATTATGTACATTCATCCATCAGTTACAGCCTATAAAAGTCTACTGCTGAACACAAGCCTATCCAATAAATTGCCTTATGAGGGGAAATATTGCCATAGTTGCCATGCTTGGCAGGAAGGTTGTTATCAGGAAAATGCTGCTGACCATTTTCTGTTTCAGTTTCCCTTTGTCGGCTCTTTCGACACCCATGGAACCATATGAGGTAGTGGATATTCTTACACCGCCGCTACACGGTTAATTACGTACATTAAAAATTTATATAATACTCAAACCATTTTTTTTACATTCCATTTATACCAGTGCTAGTTGTGTGCAACGTTACAAATAGAAAATTTATTAAAGTATTGCAGAAATAAAAAAGCATTTTGTTAATATGGGTAGGGTTTGGAGATTGGGCTAAACTGTAAAGACGAGTTTTTGTGACCTGACTACCCAAAAAAAAATTTGGGTATTTTTCAGATATTATAATAGGTAATATCTACTTAATATGTATGTCTGTTCCTGCTCACAAAAAATTATGTTTAAAAATATTGTTGATACTTTTAGTTCAAATTTCAGGTGATATATGCACTATACAGACAGGGTTATTTTGCAATAACTGGCCAAATTTGCAGAGGTTCAGACTAAGTAATATAGGCAATATAAGTTATATTGTGAAAAATTAATTTAAAAAATCTCAAACATTTTTATCTTTTAAATTCAAAATGCGTGGTAATGAATAGTTTTACTGCACATGTAGGGGTCGATAGGTAGCCAAAAATGGTTGTTGCAAATAAATCACATTCAATTTGGGATAATTTCAAATACAAGTAGAAACCTTATTGACTTGTATTTTCAAAAAGTGCAATAATGGTATATCATTATTTATATCTCAAGTGGAAAGAACTGGTCTCTGCCTACCCCTACGGGAAAGAGGCGTGATTATATGTATTATTTATATATTTGAACTTGAGTTTAAAATTTGGTTACTTTTTAAAAATAACACTTTACTACTTTAAGATTACTCTTAATTACAAGCTTTGGGTTTATGTATTGCTGATAAGAATAAAATATAAATGTGATATACATACTATAGACAATAATTCTAGACATATATGCCTACATATGTTGAAAATAATATAATGCTAAATAGTTTTATACAAAACCAAATATTTTTAAAGGTGCGAGACATCCGGTACTGTGATTGCCAATCCATCTACCATTTTATATATGGTATACATAAACACTCACGCCTGTCACCCAGAGGGGTAGGCAGAGATTATGGACTTCCATTTGGCACGATCCTGACACACCTCTCTCGCTTCCTCCACATCCATATACCTACGCATACACGCTCGTCGGTTAAAGGTACTCTTGATTTGGCCCATTTTTAATATATCGCCAATTTGGTCGATAAACTTTCGCCTAGGGCGACCCTTCCCGACTATGCCGTTCACCTCTGCAACATAAATTTGCTTTGTCACTCTATATGGTATAATAAGCTATATTATTGTTGTAGTATGAATGGGTCGGCCTGTGTAAAATAGCAGTGCTGCTGTGTTTTATATAGTGAGTATAGACAACCTGAGGCCCTTTTTACACAATCACTTACAGATGCACCAACCATAAAGATATGAACATCCATAATATATTGTAAATATTATCACATTACCTGCATTAATACAAGGTAACAGAGATTAATGGTTAGATTTTGTTTTGTGATTTTATAAATAGTTTTCATAATGATATCCTAATAGGTTTTACAAAATACTCTATATTTGTTGAAATTTTAAGGAAGTTATTGCATTTATTATTGATAATTAAACAAACATTGTTAAAACAATAACAATTTTTTATTTGTAACAATAATTTGACTCAATAAACATAACTTTTATTATAATACTTTGCTTTAAATTTTAATACCATTCCTTTTTAAATATAAATTTAATCCTATAGTTAAGCACATGTACATGTTTAATATTATAAATGTAAGGTATGAAGGGGTAAATAAAGTCTGTACAGTTAAATTTATAAACCCTGTCAATAAGTTTGCCACTATAAAAAATATTAAACCATTTTGGTTTATAGCTGACAATATACAAGGAATGTTAAAGACCAATTTCCTTTCCTTATCTTGATACAATACTTCAAAGAAATACAAAAATGTTAGAACTGTTACTAAAATTGCTTCCAAATAAATACAGAACCCTGCATTGGCTAATGTTCTTGAAATAGGTCTGTGCAAATTGACAAAATACGACAGGCCCCAAAGCACCACAGAACCCATGGAAAAAGTCCTAAGAACTGTATATCTATAGACAGAATCATTATTTAGCACATTCCTAATGTAAACTGCAAATAAATAAAGTGAAATATAACCCATAGTTGATGCAACCCCTTCTCTATTTGCATCTAGGAGAGAAATCCTTGAACCATTACTAAACACCCAATCCTGAAGACTATTATATAATAAATACTCATGTAAAATTAATATTAATAAACTTAAAAACAATGGCTTTTTAGAATAGTACAATATAATTGATGAAACAAGTTTACATACTGCTAATGTGAAAAAGAAATTCCAGTGTACCCCATATTCTGTGACATGCTCATGATAGTCTAGCTGTTTCACAGAAAAGTATCTTAGAAAACCAAGAGAAATGAGGACAGAAATAAATTTTGAGTTGCCTTTGATAATTGATGTACAGCTTTCTTTACTGACATCTTTATGGACAAGGCCACTCATAAGAACAAATAGCCCAACACCAGTATCCATGAGGCTATATCCATATTTTTCAGTTTTAGCTAAATATCTTGGAAAGTCTTGAAAGTCCACTGCCAAAATACAAAACACAGTCATAAGATATGTGAGGCCTCTTGTGCAAGATATTGAAATAATTTTTGTGTTTCCAAATGAGTTAAGTTTAGAGAATGTCCTTTGTATATCTGCTATACTATGAGTTTTCAAAAATTCAAATGTTATGAAGGCAAATGCAACAAAATTCATTACATATATATTATCAACAAAGATGGTATGGGCTAATATCATAGAGAGCACAATCGATATATACTCGTATGAATATTGCACCAGTTTGGGATTCTTTGGACGAATACAACAGAGAAGCGAAGTTTGGACTGTAAAGAACAAACTAAAAAATGTATGCAGAGCTGTTGTTCCATGGTTGTTTTCCATAAAGGACTCATGATACTTTTTGTATTCTGTAGCGTTCATTTGATATTAATATGATGAAAACACAGAAGAAATAAATGCAAACGTTTTTTTAAATCCTTTTTTAGCTTAACTTTAGACTTGGTTTAGACCAAGCAGACGAAGAGTATTTTGAAGTACTAATTATATATGGTATAGTATACCAACTAGTATCACAGACTAACTAGTAGATACTTTTCTATGTTGTCTTGGGGTTTATCGACTAGGGATACATGCACAGGCAGGCAAGTTATTTTAATCTTTTTAAATGAAATATATTGTCAAATATCCTAGTCCTACATGTCAAACATATAGATAAATAAATGCTAATGTCAAATATTAATAATGACTTACTTTTTTTTTCAATTATTTAAAGGCAAAAGGATTGATAATTGTACAGCCTAGTCTAATATGCATTTTTGCTACCCGTGCGGTTCAAGAATGAGATTGAAAATTGCGTCACCACTATTCACCTCTCGCTCGCCAACTGCCGCTATCAATACTCATGTCCACTGGTAAAGACTACAAAAAAAACCACTGCGTTATGCGTTTTTCGTACGTCCTATAACTTCAGTCCAACTTGCCAAAAAAGAAAAAATTCAGTCCTGTTTCGCTAATTTGTAATCAAGAGAAAGTGTGTTCTGTGTTTGTGAGCAAGACGTGTTCTGAGAGCTTTCTTCATAATTATTGTTGATTTTGTTTGTTAATATTTTTATATTTAATATTTACAATGCAACTGAGACATGAGTAACCATTTTAAAAATTTCTGTTTATTATATTTTGTCTCTCTGTCCGTCCAAGCTATTTTTTGGAATGGCTGGACCGACTGTAATAATACTTCACGAACAAATAGAGAGTAATACCACGAGTGATTTAGTCTAAATATTATCCGAACATTTTAGAATTATTAATAATATAGAAATATTGATAATATGAAATAAATGGTTTTAATGATTATCTTAAGTCTAAATAAGGCCACATTCGCTAGTTATAAATGTTATTTTAAAATTAATGTATCTATGTGCGCATACGATTTTTTTTTAATTAACCGAATAATATAACGTTATACCGTTATTAGCGAGTTTTCGATATTAGCTTTTTAGCCGCCATTTCTAATCCCATTCTTTATCCGTATAGAGAAGACTACATTTTTTACTATGTTAATACTATATATTACCTTTTTTTGAGATTTTGGAAGCAACTTAACTCTGCATGAAGTGGATGACGAAGCTGATGCAGCAAGGCATCTTAAGGCGTCAAAACGGGTACTAAGCTTTATACCACTATCGGAAAACTTGTTATATCGTTTTTAATAACAGTTAATAAGCGTAGAAAAGTGAGGTTAAACTCGAAAGTCCTACTTGCACGAGCAGGATAAGTATGCTCAGGCTCTTGCAACCAGCATGGGCCAGCATTCTACGAGTCTTAATCGTTATGATCACAGTATACACCTGAAGTGATTCTGTCTGATGTGGTAACTTTTTTAGTAGGTATACAAGCAAAATACCGCCATAGACTTATAATATACTGGCGTATAGACCAACATAGTGTGTAAGGGAGAAGAAAATTTCTTATGGCAAAAATGCAAGATAGAAAAGGATACCAAATCTCATGACTCTGTAACCGATTTTGAATGACGGATCGGCGCAATTCCGCCCGCAAGAAATAGCTCCTAGATATTTTGTAATTTTTTAAAGTGTAATAGTGGTTATTTTTAGTAAGTAACTTTTTTCCAAAATGCTTACTTGTTCAGTGAGTGATTGTGGTGTTAATAATAGAAATAATCCTGATAATTGCACATTTCACAGGTAAATTCTCACGACGTCGTCAATGTTATTAAAGCGTTTATTTTTGGTTAAAATTTATGTTATGTACTGTTTAAAATATAGAACGTTTTCAATTATTTTATTTATTTTGATATTTTACAAAGATAAAAGTCGCTTTGTTGATAATTTACATGAATTTGATAAATACATTTTTATACAAAATATTTTACATGTACTGTAGGGATTGACTCAACTATATCAAAATTAATGTCGATATTTATCTTGGATGTTTATAATGAATCGATAGACTTGCCTACACAACAAGAAAATAAATCCTCGGCTTGCGTTCTAAAATTTAATTTTATTTTGTCGTTTGTCAAACAGATTCCCTCCGAATTCTATAATTAGAAAAACATTTTCTTGAGAAGTATAAAAGAAAAATTAGAATAAAAACAATTTTATTAAAAGAAGTCATTTCTACATTATTTGTACCAGTAAGTAAAATGTTGTTATAATAAGACTTCAAAATTTAACTTTAGATAAATATAGATAAAGGTTGAAATTTAGAATCGTGTGGCTGGAGGGAGGGGGGCAGGGGGAAGGGGAGGGGGTGAGCGTCCCCTTACTCCCGACACCACTCCCATTAAAAGGTAATACCTTGTTCTTGAGAAAATCAAAAGGAAAATCCCATAGACCTAACCTCAAAATGATAACAATTATCGTCTCCGGCACGAAGGGGGAAGAGGGCAGCAGGAGTGTGCCCTATCAGGGAAAGCCCCTCTACCCCTTTCTCGTTGCGGAAAAGTATGGTTTATGAGTAATGGTTTTTTTTTAATCATAACCTCACTGTTTTACACAGGAATATTGACCCAAAGGTACTTCTACTCGTATAACGGCTTCGGCGCAGCAGGGAGTACAACCCCTTCACCCTTGCGTAGCATAACCTTGCGTTCCGCGCCTATGGCTTTACAAAACACTAGAAGTAAGGCAGACAAGACTACGTGGAGTCGGGACGTGCTAATTCAATTTTAGTACAGATTCGATCAGATCAGATATCTTATCTATAAAGCCAGGTTGCCTTCGCTCCCACCACATACTTCTAACCTATTACAACTGAAAGTATATCTGGGTGTTCAAGTATTTCTGGGCAGTTTTAAACAATTCTGAAATAAAACAGTATAATATTATAATAATTTCGTATTTGACACTTGACAGAGAGTATAGACAGTAGAATAATGTGACACTAGTCTTACGCCCTTGTCGCACTTACATAAAATTCTGTGTGCTATCCAGCTTTCACAGTAATATTGCATACGTTTTTCCATGTTTTACGTATTTTAGGTTACAATAGTTTTTACTTATTTATTCGATAACGGTGCATTACCTTTTAATGTGAGTGGTATTATTATAATCGGGGACCAAACCTCTATCAAATAAAACACCTTACTCCCCCAAATTCCTGCCAAACGATTCTAAATCCAACCCTAGATAAATATAGAGACAGATTTTCATACCTTATAAAACTGTAGTACATTAAAGACAAAAAATCTTGAGATTATCCTCTTTAAGCCATTATCAACCCTACTAAGTATCTATTTATCACCCAAAATAAATGTCATACTAGTACAATATTCATAGCATCACGCAATTTTCCCCAAGGAGTTGAGCTGCTTCGGAACTTCGGATTATATTCCTGTTGCGCGCCACTATTAATGTCTTGTACATGGCAACATTAGTTACGTTTAGCGCCCTCTAGTATCGAGTAGCAGAACTAGGAGAGTCAAGATCCTTCTAGAAATTTCGGGACCGATATGTACTCGAACATTCTAGATGTTTCTACAGTAGAAGCACATGAGTAAAGAAACCGACCAGAGGGGAAGCTACATACAAACGGTTCGCGGCGAATACACCCATACATAGCGCAGCGATGTGTGCGTGAGCTCTCACCGACAGATTAACCGACGCTCCGTCGGGGTACAAACCGGTTTGCGCCGGCTCAGTCAGAGTATCCATGAAAGGGCTGTTAGTCGTGCGCATTTAAATAAATAGACCAACAATATTTCGAAATTTTATACATCAATTAATTTATTAAGTTTTTTTGCAATTATTAAATAATTAGATTTAAGTATTTTAATTAAAATAATTAAGAATTAAGTTATTATAAATTTATATAGCTAAATAATAAGTGTTTTGTATAAGCAAAAATGTCTAATAGTTGTACAGTATACATGAATAATTCTAGAGAAAATAACGATATTATCTTTTTTTGTACCCGAGAGATCAAGTGAACTAAGTACCTTTTTACGTATTATATACAATAAAACTAGGTAATAACATTGATAGGTAAGTGAGAATGTGTTAGACAGGTACGTCGCCGAGTGATGAAGTCGGTCTCACCTACTTGAAACGTTAGTCAGTATAACCTTGACAGTGCTGCAGATGGTAGGACATCCTACATAATAAGGCTAAATGTGTGACTTTATCCACCCACTTTAGTATAGAGGTAGGTTGCTTCCTGGGGAAGGATATAAGCTACTTTTTGCGAGTCGCGACCCCAGGGGTAAATACAAATGCATTATGGTTGGAATACAATCGCCAGACATTGGTGGGGGTGGTGGGATTGGTGTTGGTGGAAGTTGTGCTGGTGTTGGTGGATAGTGTAGCTGATGGTGTTAGTAGTGGTGGAGGTGGTAATATCGGAGGTAGTGATAGTAGGCAGTGGACCAACAGTGGCTCTATCACCACCACCATTTTTTCCTTAAATTTTTCACATGCATTATGTGACAACCCTATCAGAATAGGTATACATTTTCGACGTTGTTAAGAAGCTTCCCCTCTGGTCCTTACTCTTTACTCTGAGGTAGAAGGTTCTGGAAACTATCTGAGGCCCTATATAAGGCCGGTATATACCACAACCGAGTCAGTATTGAATTGAAAGTCTTCGCGCATGCGCGACTACTACTCCCGCGCATGCGCGAAGACATAGAGTAGGACACAATTTTTGTTTTGGCTTCTCTAGTACGTACTACGTAGTACATATAACTCAATGTGTAAATGAAAAACGTCTCCTATAGAAAAATTAAAAGTATGTAATCTTAATAAATAAAATATATAAAAATGTAATTGTTTGATTTGACATTTGAACCTATTTGATTTGACAATGTCGTTAATAGAAATATTACGAAAAGCAGAAAGAAGAGATAACCATCATTAAAATTTGACCCCTGTAGGTAGTACATATTATGTAATTTTTACTAT